CTGTGTGTGTGTGGGGTTCTTACCCTGAGAAAACCAGCCCACATGGTTAAACAAACAAGGAGTTAACTTTTATTTATGGTTTGAACATAACTGGGAAGAAAGACCAGGAGAGGTTACAACATTTCTTTTGGACTTGTTAAGTCGCGAAGAGTCGGAGAGTGATTCAGCACGAATGCGGCTTTTATTCTTCAACTCGAACTCACTTCCAACACGGTACAACATCAGTCAGCCAGAGACAGCTTTGGCATAGAAGCTGCTCTGTATTTAAACATTCCCGGCTAATATAGCCACGCCTACTATACAATAATCAACCAATGCGGTTGAACCATTAAAGGCCAATCACAAACGTTCCCGCTCAGGGAGCTTCTTCATAGTGATTGGATATTGCTTCCTGGGCTAGTGTTCCTATTGGTTACATTAGGATCCTAGCCCAGGATGAAGCTTTACATGAGGTGGCAATGGGATGATTCACAATACATCCAATACATACATTCAAGTCATTTTGAATACACTACAAATCCCCTATTCCAACATTTGGGATCTTCTGTTATGCATAGACTCTTTATCTAGCTTAAAGCTACTCTTCATCACAGCTTCCCTCAGCCAGACACACTCTCAAATCTTTACCTCTCTAATTGCCGACTCCCAACTGCTGTTTTCCAACTGTCTCTCACTGACATTCTGTCAGCTCCCATGGGTTTCTCTTAGGGAGAGGCAGAACCTAACCTGTCCATCACAAATCCCTTCACTGTAAACCCATGAACAGACAATTGATGTGAGAAGAGGCCAACATATGTAGAGGGTACGTTGGAACAAGTGCAATGGCCATGCCCGTCAGATTACACATGATGTCTGGAGTGTCGGCAGGGTGAAGCTGCTTATGGAAAATGAACCTGCAAATGTTCCCAGTCATGCGGACAGAGCTTATATGCATTCTGCGTAAATAGGTGATGTGCCTACATTCCAGTGACTGCCTGAAGGAGGGGGCTCATGCCTGCCCATTTGGTTAAGAGCAGGGAGGAACCACTGAATTCTTTCCCTCTCTTCATTTGTTGACTTCTTCACGTCTTGTGAGCTCCAGAGAGCCATAACATTTTCCATCAGCTTTTAGGCACAGCTACAGGAAGGTCCTGAATAACACGCAAAAGCTCAGATCTTTACCCAAGGATAATGAAGGGCAAAGGAAGAGTTTGAAAACACTGCCATCCTTGACATCCCTGACTGTGAGGGATTGATGAATATGCCTGATAAAATGCATGTTTTTATTGGCATTTTAAATAGCTTCTTTGTGAAATAAATCACTGCTTTTATTTAGGCCGGCTTGATTTTTAACCTTAAATGAAATGAGTGAGATCCTTTTTTATTTGCTAATGGATAAGTCATGCTATGGAATTATGACACCTACTGCAATTTGGCAGAATTATCTGTGATAGTTGTGGTTCAGATCTATAATCTAGCACAGAAGCTCATAACTTGCTCGCAAAAAATGCCTTTTTACCAACGAGCAGGTCACAAAACAAGTCACAGACAATGATGCTGGAAACATTAAACTATGACATTATCCCTGCATAATAATAGCTTGATGAAAAGTAATCAGAGTTGCCTTTCTCCTTTGCCAGACCACAAACATGGGCACCACATTAATTCAGAATGAACCAACTCCTTAATAATATGTTCCATACTAAGCTCCATTACTTAATGACCGGATCACTTGATAGTTTCATGCCAAATTCTCATCTTGTACTGGAGCCCAGGGATGAAGTGAAGAAGGCCACTCAGTTGCAGTGTATGAAATATTCACATTTGCTACTGCGTCAAGTCCCAGTTGATTTATGGTGACCCTGTAGGGGTTTCAAGGCAGGAAACTTTCAGAGGTGGTTTGCCATTGATTGCCTCTGTGTAGGGTAGGGTTGCCAAGTGTACATACCGTTTGTAGAGGGGGAGCCTTGCCAGGCTCCGGGAGCTCATGAGGGACACGTGCGTGCGTGCTGGCAGCACGTCACAGGAAGTGACGTGCTACGTCGCTTACGTTGGGGGCGTGCCCCAGATCGTCGGGGGGGAACCATATGAGAGCAGGCTAGCCATAGGTATGAAAGAGTTCCCCCCGGGGCCCGATTCCGCCGCTCAGAAAACACTCAGAAATAATGTAGCCTCCAAAGCGGAGGTTTCCCCGCCCCCATCCCCACTTGGCAGCCCTAGTGTAGGGACTCTGGACTTCTTTGGTGGTCACCCATGCAAGTGCTACCCAGGGCCAACCTTGCTTAGCTACTGAGATCTGATGCGAGTAGGCTAGCCATAGTTATGAACAGTGCCTGTGTTTGTTATTTTACCAACTCAGCTTAGAGGGAACTATGATGAACAGTGCCTGTGTTTGTTATTTCAGACATTATATATGAAATAACCATGGAATAGAACTGGTAATCTTTGGACACAAGGATCATGGATCATTTCCTCAGTTTCCTTTCCCCAGTATGATTGTGCCTGCAACTCTGGTTTGAAGCAAGATTGACCAATGAAAGTAGAAAGTGGAGATATTGAGGGTGCTAGTTTGCTATGCCAATCATCCATAGTTGAAGTTAATTTGATAGGAATATGTTGTCATCTGTGGTATTTGGCCTTTCTTTTGGATTGTTTCAAAAGATTTCAAGTAATATTTTTTGGCAAATGAAACTCTGTTCTATATGTACCCAATCCAAGGTAGAATCCACCCTCTTTAAAAATAGAAAATCACAGCAGTATCCAACAGCAGTGTATGTTGTATGTTTGTGTGCTTGTTTTATACCACAGAACTTGTTAACATCCCCAATAGCTCTTGGGGATGTTAAAATATTGTTTTAATTTGAGTAATTGCAAAAAGGATCTTGCTAGTAACATTGGGTTCATGAATTTTAACAATCCACTGGAGGTATGTGTTTCTTGGTTGTGACATGAATGTCATTGAAACACAGTGGTAGTGTTTGTTTTTTTTTAGGTGGGTCTTGTTTTTCATTTTTACCTGCAAATGTAGCAATGTAACAATTTAATATGTCACCAAGCTTTTGAGAATGAAAGTTATGAAAACATGCAGAGTGGTCTGGAAGGGGAATAGTGAGAATTATAAGCCTCCTTACACATTCAAGGGCTTTTGTAAACAAAGTAGGGTCTTAGGAAACTGTTTTCTTTATGGATTTCTCCATAATGACTGGGCTGCTGCTATTTTTTTAATATCATTGCATTCAAAGAATCGAAAACCTCTTCAGAACTGATATCTCCAGCAATTATGTACTCAACATTAGTCTTCTCCATTGAAATCCTTTCTTGATAACACAAAGCATATCTAACTGCATCCTTTGTGACTATTGTTTTAAAAAAGGTGAAAAAGAAACAATGCTTGGTAGAATGTAATTCATTTGCCAGTAATGGTCCTATTACAGTAATTACTGTTTTCTGATAGTGGCTTTGCAGTGTTTAAATACCCTGGCCTGGGACTTAATTGCAGATTTATAACAACTAAGCCTTTGGGGGCCATTGTCCTCTGTAATCACATTCTTTTAAGTAATGGTCTGAAGAACAAAACTTTTGTACCAATTGTTGTACTATTGATTACTGTCATCATTTCATTTGCTCCTTTTGAAAGGCCAAAATCTAAACAGAGAGTCAGTTTAGAATACTATATTGTGTGTGCGTGTATTTACATTTTTAGGGCTCTCTGTTGGGCTCTGCAGTGCGTTTTGAGTCAAAACTCTAAGAGTTCCATTGTTTTACCAAACCTACAATGGGACAGAAAAAGATGTGGCTCAAAACTACATTCAAATACTCCAGGCCAAGCCATACTAACTGCAGAGTCACCGCTGAACGGCCATAAATCTATGCAGACAGTACCATAAAACCAAGATATCAAAGGAAGTGAAATCAGCATGCAGTGTGGAGGCTAGCATAAAATCCGACAATCAAAGAAAATGAAAATGGCATGCAATGCAGAGAGGAATTTCTGTTCCAACCTGGGTTTGGTAAAACAGTGAAGTGAATGCTAGATGCAGAATGAGTGACAGTCTTAAGTACTCTGCCTGGGGAGAGACTGCCAAAGTGAAGTTCCACCATAGGCAAGATTTGAGATCTCACTGTATTTCCGTTCCTACCACAAATGCACCATGAAGAAATAATAAAGATCTCATTAAATACCTGTGTACATTTCCCTGGAAACCCTAAAATCAACAGTGTTTTCTAACATGTTTGCAGATGTTTAAGGACAAATGCGTGTTGTCTACAGTTGACGGGCTTGTTGTGGGAAATGCCATCAAAACACCACTGTCCTTAGTCAACTTCAGATGTTACAGTGAATGCATGTTCATGCTATATGTACTTGCATACATCTGTTTTTAAGAAACAGCCTTTGTGCATTCACTTTGTAATTGAAACCAGGGACCAGTATCTGGCTAAATGTTGCGTTTGTATCACACATTGAGGTTTACATGTGTTGAATGTAACGTGAGAATTATTCAATGCAGATTTTTTAAAAAAACCAAGTGTATCACGTTGATTGTACCTGCATTTCTTGTAATTTCTGAGCAAGGTTCTCATGGCAGCCATATTTTCTGCCTAATATATAAAAGGGTAAAACAGACCCGTTTTAAGTAATACTTGTGGCTACCTCTAGGGCCAGTTTAAGTTATTGGATAGGGCCAGAGTTTTGTTCATGTATATGGGAAGAAGGCTCATGTAACAGCACAAAATTATTGGTGTTTACCGTACCTGTACTAGATTTGCTCTGGGAAAGGAGAGTCTGTAGCCAAGAATTATGGTTTAGATACATGAAAAAGTAGGGATGGAGAAGCATTTACTCCGCTTTGAGCACCTTGGGATAAAATATCTTTAATAGATCTCCTGGAATCTCATCTGGTTTGACCCAAAGTTTCTTGGAGGAAATATAGGATGCAAAATGTCCCTAGTTTTAATACAAATAATGTCTGGAAACAACAGTAATAAATGTGCTGGTAACTAAACAAATGCTATTCTTGCAGTTTGCCGGGAAGATTCACATCAGTCTATAGTCTCTTGTGCTGCAGTGCTACTTACTCCCATTGAACCGTCTGCTGAAGGGAAGAATAAAGAACAGCCAAAAATGCCTGAAGTGACCAAACAGTGAGTGACTAATACACTGTTAACTCTTTAATGTACTTTAAACAGTGAGCGTGAATTCTGGCTTTCGTTATTCACACACTGCACATCTTCTCTTTCTGATGCATGGTAAACTTCTTTTTAGCACACAGTAGGATGATTCAAACAACTAATAAATAGTGTAGGCCCTGTGATCTGTGGTAAGTAATGTATTGGTTCTGTATCTGCTCTGAGTTATGTTGCCCTCCTCCATGTTTGTGGCAGCAAAGGGCATATTAAGAGTCTTTGTGTTTGTAATAACCCAAAGTAATGTTATGATATGTTCCTCAACTTAACCTCTCTATTTGTACATCTTTGTCTTTTGTGCAAGGTTTTCTTTTATTCCTCAGTCTTAGAATATTTTGCTTCTTTATTACTTTATTGCTTTGATATAAGTCCAGGCAGCAACTTGCAAAAATAGTTATGGGTTTCCAGGTAAATCATATGAACAACATGGACCGCTATGTTATAATAATGTGTTAGGGGAGAATCATGACCACAACACAAGGAGTGTGCAGAGGCTCTAGCTGTGGACTCAGATGCTATAAGAAGTCTTCTACACAAATTGTGTTAGTCTGATGTAACAAAACTGAAGTCCAGGGGGGAAAAAGACTACTTATACCAACCTCATTTCCTTCTTTGATCGAGTGATGAGCTTACTGGATCAAGGGAATGCTGTTGATGTTGTTTACCTGGATTTCAGTAAAGCTTTTGACAGGGTTCACCATGTTCTGATGGATAAACTAGGGGACTGTGGACTGGACTCTAGGATAGTAGGGTGGATAGGGAACTAGTTGGAGAACCAGACTCAGAGAGTAGTTGTCAATGGCATTTCATCTGAATGGAGGGAGGTGCCCAGTGGGGTGCCATAGGGCTCGATTCTGGGCCTGGTACTTTTCAATATGTTTATAAATAATCTGGATGAGGGTGTGGAGGGGCTACTCATTAAATTTGCAGATAATGCCAAATTGGGAGGAGCAGCAAACACACCAGTAGAAATATAATTCAATGAGATCTGAACACGCTGGAAAAGTGGGTGGATGTGAACAAGAACAACAATGCAATTTAACAAGGATAAGTGCTGAGTTCTACACCTGGGTAACAAAAATGAGTAACATGCGTACTGGATGGGGGATACACTTCTGGGTAGCAGTGTGTGTGAACAAGATGTGGGGGTATGGGTGGACCATAAGTTAAATATGAGCACCCAGTGTGATGCGGCGACAAAAAAGGCAAATGTGATTTTTGGGGTGTATTAACGGAGGCATAACATCCAGATCACAAGATGTAATAGTTCCTCTGTACACTGCATTGGTCAGACCACACCTGGAGTATTGTGTGCAATCCTGGAGGCCTCACTGCAAAAAGGATGTGGACAGAATGGAGCATGTGCAGAGGAGAGTGATGAGGATGATCGGGGGCCTGGAGACCAAGCCTTATGATTAAAGGCTGAAGGATTTGAGAATGTTTATGATTAAAGAATGAAGGATTTGAGAAGAGGGTTGTACAACAGTGGAATCAGTTGCCTAGGAAGGTGGTGAGCTCCCTCTCACTGGCAGTCTTTAAGCAGCCGCTGGGCAAACACTTGTCAGGGATGCTCTAGGCTGGTCCTGCATTGAGCAGGGGGTTGGACTAGGTGGCCTGTATGGCCCCTTCCAACTCTGTGATTGTATGATTCTGTATAATCTATCTCAGTTTCTATCAATTTGGCCTATATCTGTGTCTATGGACAGAGAGGGGGGAAACGTTTGTGTACTGTGGAGCAAATGACTGCGATGCACCAAACACAGCAGAAGGTGTCTCAAGTTTTCATGAAGACCGTTTAGCAATGTTTTCCTCATTTAAAAAAAGAAAAGAAAAAAAGAAAAACAGCTTTTCATAAATTCCTCAGAAGACTGTTATTTCTGTGTTGAGAGATTACGGGATGTAATCATATAAACAGTAAAGCCTACTGAACATAATGGGACTTACTGCAGGGAAGATATGCATGGCATTTTGCTGAAAATATTTAATATTTAAATTAAGTTCAGATTTCATATTAAAGGTGAAACTAGGCTTTTTAAATATGATTGAAAAATCTGTTTTTATCCACCTTGATGCACAGTGTAACTCTTTTGAAAGTGTTGCTGCAGCAACAGTTCTTCATCACAAACACTGTTTTTTCTTGTTATGCTGATTTAATACTGGAAGAGAAAGGCAAGAAGGATTCCTTTAAGTGGTAGAAAGCTAGTCTCAGTGAGTTTGATAAAAGGGGACACAGGCTGTGGCAAATAAAATGCAAGTCTGCGAGCAGGCAGGCAAAAAGGGAATATAAGGAGCATATAGCAAAAAAAGCATAAAGACCAACAATAAAACTTTCTTCAAATACATTAGAAGCGAGAAACCAGCCAGGGAGGCAGTGGGGCCCTTGGATGACCAAGGGGTAAAAGGAGTACTGAAGGATGATAGGGAAATGGCTGAGAAGCTGAATGCATTTTTTGCCTCTGTCTTCACCGTGGAAGATGAGAAGTGCTTGCCCACTCCGGAACTGCTGATTTTGGGAGGGGTATTGAAAGACCTGAGTCAGATTGAGGTGACGACAGAGGAGGTCCTACGACTGATAGCTTAAAAACGGATAAATCACCAGGCCCGGATGGCATACATCCGAGAGTTCTCAAAGAACTCAAATGTGAACTTCTGGCTCTCCTGACAAAAATATGTAATCTTTCATTAAAATCTGCTTCCATTCCTGAGGACTGTAAGGTAGCTAATGTCACTCCCATCTTTAAAAAGGGTTCCAGAGGAGATCCGGGAAATTACAGACCAGTCAGTCTGATGCCAATACTGGGTAAGTTGATGGAAACTGTTATTAAGGAAAGAATTAGTAGGCACATTGATGAACAAAACCTATTGAGGCAGACTCAGCATGGGTTCTGTAAGGGAAGATCTTGTCTCACTAACCTGTTAGTGTTCTTTGAGTGAACAAACCCAAATAGATGATGTTTACCTTGACTTCCAGAAAGCTTTTGATAAAGTTCCTCATCAAAGGCTCCTAAGTGGTAGGGTACCACAGGGATCAGTACTCGGTCCGATGATTTTTAACTTGTTCATTAATGATTTGGAGTTGGGAGTAGGCAGTGAGGTAGCTAAATTTGCAGATAACACAAAGTTGTTCAGGGTGGTGAGAACCAGAGAGGATTGTGAGGCACTCCAAAGGGATCTGTTGAGGATGGGCGAGTGGGCATCAACATGGCAAATGGGGTTCAATGTGGCCAAGGGCAAAGTGATGCACATTGGAGCCAAAAATCCCAACTATAAATACACGTTGATGGGGTCCGAACTGGCAGAGACTGACCAAGAGAGAGATCTTGGGGTTGTCGTAAATAACTCAATGAAAATGTCAAGACAGTGTGCGACTGCAATAAAAAAGGCCAATGCTATGCTGGGGATTATTAGGAAAGGAATTGAAAATAAATCAGCCAGTATCATAATACCCCTGTATAAATCAATGGTGCAACCTCATTTGGAATACTGTGTACAGTTCTGGTCACCACACCTCAAAAAGGATATTATAGCATTGGAAAAGTGTAGAAAAGGGCAACTAGAATGATAGAAGGGTTGGAACACTTTCCCTATGAAGAAAGGTTAAAGCGCTTGGAGCTCTTTAGCTTGGAGAAACGAAGGCTGAGGGCTATTAGCCATAAGGTATAGGTAGGAACTCTGGGGCAAGTGATGCTCTGTATTTTTGGTGCTGGGGGGGGCAACGGTGGGAGTGCTTCTAGCATCTTGGTCCTACTGATGGACCTCCTGATGGCACCTGGTATTTTTGGCCACTGTGTGACAGAGTGGATGGGCCATTGACCTGATCCAACATTGGCTTCTCTTATGTTCTTATGAGAAATTACTATGTGTGTGTGTGTTTCTATGTGAGAATCTCACCCAGAAGCTGAATGGAGTCCCGTGTGCCTCTCAATTTTAGATCATCAATTTCTGTCATGCACCCCGAGTCCCCCTAGCGGTGAGCCGCCCATCGCCATTCCGTCATCGGATGAGAGTTAGCCTGGAGTACTCTGACCACCATGTGGGTGTGAGAATCTCACCCAGAAGCTGAATGGAGTCCCGTGTGCCTCTCAATTTTAGATCATCAATTTCTGTCATGCACCCCGAGTCCCCCTAGCGGTGAGCCGCCCATCGCCATTCTGTCATCGGATGAGAGTTAGCCTGGAGTACTCTGACCACCATGTGGCATCTTCCTCCTCTGTTGGGGAACTAAGAGCTGAGGGGTGGTTCCAAGGAAGGAGGGAGTAATTGCCTCAGATGATGAGACCTTCAGAGGGTTGCCTCACCACTCTTCCCACCCTAGGTATCTGGCCTTTGACCATTCACTCGGTCCAGCTATGCTCCCTTCTCTCTAGTAGCTGCAGCTGTAGCTAGCCCAGCCCTCCTCATCGGCCATCAGCTGTAGCCAGCCCAGCCCTCCTCATCGGCCGCCTCCACTCCTTCTTTTATTAGACCCTCGGCCCCTTGTTCCTTCCCTACTCCGTCCCTACCCCCTTGTAAAGGCTTAGATGCCGTGGCCCATGGCTCCGCCCCTCTCCCGTGCTCCGGGGCCAGGTCTTGCTGTGCTGCTCCTCCCACGGCTATTCCGGCTTCTTCGGTTGCCTGCTCTGTCGCCCCCTGGGCCCGTCTGGCCTACTTCCACCCCGCGGGTCGTAGGACGAGCCGGGCTCACCCGGTGGCCGTGACTCATCACCGCGGCTCATGTTGCTCCTTTGGGACCGCCTCCTGGCCCTTGCTGCACTCCCGGGGCGCCTCCGTGCCTGCCCTCCATCCACTTGCTGCTGTGCCGTGCTCGTCACCGTCCTCTCTGCCTGGCAGGGTGAGTTGTGTGTTGGGGGGGGCCCTTGGGCGACCGTTCCCTTGCTGCGTTCCTCCAGGTCTGAGAGCTCCCAGCCAGGGCCGGGACAATTTCACACTGGAACCTCCATTGAATGTGTCTTGGTGAT